AAAACTTTATAGCTGTTAGGTCCAAGTTAGGATTGTTGCAGAGAATTATTTAGGAAGTGTTGTGGTTTTATAATTGATTTATGAAATTATCTTGGGATAGTTGTTAATGCCCGGTTGTAAATCTAAAATGCTTTGAGATCCCATATTTCACGTCAAATTTTCATAAACTACTTATTAGAGATTTAATGAAACAGACAAAAATCTGTAATAAATCAATCTTAAGCATAAAACAGTTTGATTCCCTTTTTCCAGAATATAATGTTTTAAAATATCAGTACATTCGGGCCGCTGTAAGATTGCAACTTTCGTCTTAAAAAGTCAAAGCCCTAAATAATATTATTTGGTTCAATTATCAGCGATACACAAACTGAATGATACAATTTTTTAAATTCCACGCAGGTCAGGTGTTCGCTTTTGTACAGCTCGAATTGGAAGCAAGGATCTACCATTTCCTTTTTCACGGATGAAATAATTCTATTATAAACTGACGTTAATTTCGAGTCGAGTGTCGAGTTAAATGTTTTCTTTTCGATTGATTCATGATTGCTTTAATATGAATATTTTCGATTAAACAAATAGTTAAAGTTATACAATAACTTCATTTTAAAACAAAGTTTGTTAATAAAAGTCATAAATAAACAACCTAGAGACACAAACGCAAAAGTTCGATTTTTCCGGATATTTCCGGTTCCGTTGTCGGATCAAGGTCTATCATGGCTCCAAATTTAATTTTTTTCTTACTCTATTAAGTACACGATATTTACCTGCCGAAAAATGCCATTTGTTTATAAAGCCGTTTTTTTCAAATTGTTAAATTTGTTAAACAAACAAAATATTTTTTTTACAGATTTTCCATGAAAATGATCAATATCTACCGATTTCTTGAGGCTTGACGATCAAAAAAAATTTATGGAAAGACGTTTTTCCTCAATAAACAAATTTCATAAACAAATCTTTGTTGGTCCAAATGTAACAATTTCCCAGAATCAAAAAATTTAAATATCGTTTATTTGCAGAGAAAAAAATTGTACATATTAAGAATCATAATTTGTTTATAACAGTTGAACGGTCGCAAATAATAAGTCTCAAGCGACGCATATTGACAAAACCATCATTTTGAATCAAGATTTTTTTTCGTGTCCGATACACCGTTTTTGTTTTAGAGCGAAAACAAAAAAAAATTGCAAATAACAATTGTCTATAATAATTAGACTTTTTTCCTATAAGAATTGACAGTAAACCAACATGCACCAAAAAAGTTACAATTGGCCTGTGTGGTATGGAAACAACTTGGTATGGCTGTACAATTGTTACTTATATAAAAAGTTGTCCAAAAATTGATATGTAGTTAAAATTATACACAAAAATTAAATTATACGCCTAACATATTTTCTATATTTTATACCGTGCGTCATCACAGATCAAATTAAAGAAAATATATGAGGATCGATAGCTTTACACACTATTAAATTTAAAAATATACCACATTTTCTATAATTTACGTCTTAATACCATAATATCAAATATTAAAAGAGTTTATTTCTTTTATTAAACATAATTTGGCAATTTACTGTAATTTTTTTTGACGTTCGTTTTCAATATTTTTAATTGACTCCGGCTGTCAGTTTCTTAGACATGTTTGAAAACAGCAAAATTAGGTATAGAGTACTCTGACAATATTTTTTTATTCACAAATTTCACACACACTTTATTTAGCGATCTGATTTGACAGACTAATTGCCAAATTAGGATAAAATACCTGTCAGGAATTTTGAAACCTATTTAACCAATTTCCTTCGTATGAGAGGAATGCGGTTAACCATAATATCTCTCGTAATATCAGTTCTATAGCTTTAAATTTTAATATATATCACACACCGGTTTTTATTGTATTCTAAGATATTTGTGATAAACCTAAACCATTTATATTTAGCGTTAAAATACATTATTAGTATTAATAGACTTTTTTTATTCTCTGACCACTGAAATGCCATTAGATAATATTATAAAGCCCTTAACAGTATTAATTTACAATATGTAGTGCGATGAGATATTGGATACAGGTAGGTAGATCCTTAACTGAATTGAAATAATATTGATGACTGTTTTCTTATTTTCACTATATTGTATATTACTGTATTACTAATTTTCTACAGGTTGTTATAATCAGAAGTTTCAGGCCTAATAATATCTCAATTTTTATAAAAGTTAACAAAACCAAATTTAGAGTAAGAAAGAATTCATAATAAATTTTAATTGTGAATTAATATGAATGATACTTAAAACTTGTACTTGTTATAAATTATACATGGGTACGAAAAAATTACTCGTAATATTTTTATTTCATTTTTGAACATTTTCAGTACCTATTCATTTATTATATACAGGGTGGTCCGAATTTAAATCGGAAAACTTCGCCAGCGGATACTACGTCTAAAAATAATAACTTTTTGTCATATAAACATATATTGAAAAACGAATGGATTTCAAGATACAAGGTGTTGAAGTAAAGGGAAAAATTTTTTTTCCCAATATCTCCATAACGAATAAAGTATTTTTAATGAAATTTGATATGCAGGTATAATTAAGGCAAGCACACCAGTTGAAATAAATTTTGTCCAAAATATTCACTGGGTGATTATTTTTTTCTGATCGATTACCACTCAAACCACAACAACTTTTTGTTTGTACGCCACTGGTCAAATTTAATAGAAACGTTTTAATCTACGTTCCCTTTAAAGCAAAAAAAGTATTTTTGGCTCCTTTTCGAAATTCTTATGGTTTTTGATAAAATTGACATTTTCTACAACGATGCATTTCCGCAGCATTATATTTGAAAGTGGACATCAAAAAGAGTTGGTTGTGCAAACATGCGTTGTGACAAAACTGTGTGTTATAAACTTGTTATTTACATTTTTATATTAGCGTGGTATTTCTTTTTAATTTGTGATTCACTTTAAATCTTCTCTTTTATATTATCATGCCGAATTTATTTACTAATGAAGAGTATGCTGATATACATTTTATGTATAGTTATTGTGATGGAAATGCAGAAGAAACTTCGAGAGAATACGAAATAAGATTTCCAAATAGAAGACAACCAAATCCTCAAGTTTTTATTAACACACACCGTCGTTTTCGAGAGTTTGGGTTAAAAAATAATCATAGTGAAGTAGATGTGAGAACGAAAGACATAAAAATGAAATATTAAATCTTTTCGATAATGACAACCGTTTAAGTTCTCGTAGAGCTAGCAAGCAGCTCCGGGCACATAATTTACGAATATTCACAACTAAAATTCTACGCACACTGCATAAATATCACAGAAAACGATATCATTTACAGCCTGTACAAAATCTGAGACCCAAAGATGGACCTAGACGAAAAAAATTTTTGTAATTGGTTAATAGGCTCTACCCGTAGAGGTGTAATGTTTTTGCGAAACATTTTTTGGACAGATGAGGCTACGTTTACACGAAGAGGTGTGGTAAACTATCACAACTTACATGTATGGGCACAAGAAAATCCCCATGCTATTCGTCCTAAGTCATTTCAGACTGAATTTAGCTTGAATGTTTGGATAGAAATCATAGATGACAACCTTTGTGGTCCATATAGGCCAGATAGGCTAAATTCAACTTTAATTTTGAACTTTTTGGAAAATAATTTCCTAGATATTTTCGATGATGTGGCCCTTATTATAAGACATGAATGTTGGTTCCAAATGGATGGAGCTCCAGCTCACTATGGAATTAATGTGCGTGAATGGTGTAACGCTCATTTTCCAGGACGTTGGATAGGCCGATCAGGATCAATCAATTGGCCACCTAGATCCCCAAATCTTACTGTTTTAGACTTTTTTTATATGGGGATACTTGAAAGACCAAACATATGCTATGCCAGTGAACACAATGGAAAAATTGAGATTGTGGATTCAAAAGGTTTGCAATAATTTGTTTAATAATCGCCATATGATTTCAGCTGCTGTAAATTCAATGCTTCGAAGATGTTAAAAATGTGTCGAAGTGAATGGTATGCATTTTGAGCAACTCCTTTAATTGAAATTACTGTTAATAAAATTTCATAAATAAAAAATTTTAATATTTAAATGCTACAATCGTTATTCCAAACATTTTTTGTTTAATAAATTCCAGGAACAGTAGGAACAAAGAATTTTCTCAGATAAATAGCATTTTATAATGATTTAAAATTACATCATTTAAAAAAAGAAAAACAAAACTATGATGAAACTTTGAAGTAGATACAAAATTTCCACTTTAAAATTTAATGCTGCGGAAATGCATCGTTGTAGAAAATGTCAATTTTGTTTTAAATTTTTTCCCCTAACTTCAACACCTTGTATCATGAAATCCATTAGTTTTTCGATACATGTTTATATGACAAAAAGTTATTATTTTTAGGCGTAGTATCCGCTGGCGAAGGTTCCCGATTTAATCGGACCACCTTGTAGATAGTGACCATAAACAAGACAAACAAATAATTCCAAAATTAAGTATTATGAGTAGTACAGTGTATGATATACCGACTCATTTTGGATCTTCTATAAACTTTTATTTTCTGTACTATCGTTGAAGTCACCCAAATGTATTATATTAAAGTCTTTAAGAGATATTTTGAGTTGTATACTATTGTTTACAATTTTTTGTAGTTTGTAACTATAATTCAAAAAATATTAAATATATTTTGTTTATGTATTTTTGAAGACTCAAGAGAAAAGTGCGACGGAAAATTTCATTTGCTTTTTACTATCATAAGATATAAACTTGTCTCTCGTCTTTTACTCTGCAATTATAATATGCAGAATGCTTTCTAGAGGAAGGTATGAATTAAATGAATTAAATGAATTAAACACCACAGGTAATACAACCCCCTATATCCCTGAAGGTGCCTCATGGTACCTTATGTGGGAGAGGGCTTAACATTTAGAGACAATGGACACACACACAATGCCCAATATTGCGAGGATTAATTTCTGGTTTAGAAATATTCTCCTCGACCGGGAATCGAATTCGTGACTCTTGGGTGAGAGGCAAGTATCTTTACCACTCGATCATGAAGCCACAAAGTAATAACTGTTCTTTTAATATTTTCTTCATCTTAGAGATTCTTGAGGAAATAATTTAAAATAAGATTCTGTGTTAAGAAATATACAAAAAAGATGCCTTAATAAAATTAAAATATCTGATGTGGCCAGCATATAACTTTCTTATACCAGCATATATTATCCTGATCTAAAAAATTATTCTATTTAATTCTTCACTTACCTCAATTAAATTTTAATAGTGTGCCTTGAAATGTTTCATTAAAATTTTTAATTAATTACCAGCGTCATTCGATACTGTCAATAATAATTCATGCCATATATTTTAATAATTTCTTCTTATTGATATAAACATTTTTGTAACTAAATTAGACATTTCAAATGTCAAACTGATTTATTTATCCTAACCCTATTTTATGATGTCAAATATGTAAAAAATTTCAGTTTACATCAGCTTTATTTAAGTACTTCTCTAAAACTATGGCTGCTATCGCGATACTGCAGACATGCAAACATACTTTTTTCCCATAAAGTTGTCTTTTCATTATAATTCGTCGAGATTCATCCAGAAATGCAATAAAAATTTTTAATTTTTTCCCCCGAAATTGTACCTTTCTTCTTTCATTCATTGTGTCTCTTTTGGTGGTACCCCATTCACCAAATTTAATGAGTCACCTAAAATATTGTTGACAATCTTAACTGCCAAATTTGGGAAGTCTCCCAAAGTATTTTTTTGAGTTATCGCGGATACACACATACACACACACACGCGCATCGACAGACGTCATTCGGGAAATAGTCAAAATAGATTCAGGGTTCAAAACGTATATATTAATAAAAATCTCGAGGTCAAAAAAAATTACGATTATTATACTTCTTTATATTTGGTATAAGAAAGTAAAGACAGCTACCATTTTTGATAATATTTGTCTTTAAAACTATTACCGTAAAATTTTTGATTCGTAAACTTTTGATTTTTTCTGTAATTTGTCTAGTGATTTAATCAAATTTTCTAGGAGCATCTTTTTTCTGTGGTTTCGAATACATAAATTATTATCCTTTAATAAAGAACTCTGAAAAAAATATGAAGATATTTCGGTTATTAACTACCTCAAGAAAACGCCCGGTATATAATAATTTAAATAATAAAAAAATTCTGTTGCAGAGCCTCATTTTTAATATCGAATCCTCGCTAGCTCTACTGGGTTTACCAAAAAATTTTAATTTGAGTGTAAATAATTTCAAAATTTTTTAAAATATTTTCAAACTAATTTAAAAACGAATATGCTCAGTTCAAAATAAGTAACGCACTGAATGAATATTTCGACATGATTAAATATTTCGCTCGTTTATAGCCAAATTCATTTTCTACGAGCGGAATTGGAATGAATGGTATTTTTTTAATTTCATGGAAATTACTGGAAAAATAAGTAATACTGCAATTATAAAGAAAATATTTACCATTTATCAGATAAACCATCTTTTAATGAACATTTTGTTTTTTTTTTTGCTCACTGTCCTAACTGTGATACTTTCCGAGATACAGCATTTTTATGTGAACCTTGCTTTTCCGCCTTTAATTTATTGGGAAATGATACATATCTTTGGCCAGGAAAATAATCTTGCCACCTCCAAAAAAAATTATGTGACATACAATTGATGAATAGGAAATTGGAAGAATAAATAAATAGAGACGTTCAGTTTAACATTTTTAATAAATAAATAATAACGAACTTAAACACTACAGAATCACAGTAAAAAATCCAGAGTAAGCATTGGAATGTTTAGAATCTCGTATTGCCGCCTTTACCAATTCTCAGAGTTTCCAATCTAGGTGGCATACTAGAAACTAAATTTCTGATACTTTGCTGCGGTATGTTATTCCACTTCTGTACCAAAGCATCAGCCATCTCCGCAAGGGTATCATGAGCCTTATCGCGAGATCGAACTCTTCGTTCCAGTTCATCCCATTGACATGGGAATCATATCGAGACTTCTAGCTGGCCATTCCAATGTGGCGATACCAGTACTGTAAAAGAAATTTCGCACTTCTGCTGCTGTATGTGGTCGAGCATTATCTTGCATTAGGATAAAGCTTTCACCAATTAGCGGAGTGAAAAGTAACACGTACTGCTGTAAAATGATTTCTATATAAATGTGTGCTGTTAACGACGCTCTTATTAGGAAAATATATAAACCTCTACGTCCGTCCATCGAAATTTCACCCCACATCATAACTAACTCACCATTAAAACTCTTTCAATGTGCTGAGTAGTTCATTCTACTAGCTGTATTCGATCGATATCATAAAATTTGTAACCTGATGAAGTAATCACCTATGCAGGAAGTTTTTTTCGGACAAGTAAAACTCACCTTGCGACTGTAGCTTCCCACGTACATGCTCTTTGGCCTGTTGATTCACAAACTCCCACTGCACAAGACGCGTATCGTTTACTTCGTCCGTCATTTATTAACGCGACTATTCTGACTGGTCTGGGGTAATACTGGGCATTCTCTCTATGTTGGTACAACAAATTAATTTTTTAACTAAGATTATTAGATTTCACCATTAACAACTAACCATTAACAACTGTCAACAGCGGTAAATTTGTTTTCCAGGCCAACTGCGATTTCTGTAGATGTTATTTCCTAAACGGCGAAAAGCAAGGTTCACGTAAAAATGCTATATCTCGTAAAGTGTCAGAGATACAAGAGTGAGCAAAATACTGTTAAAAAATGGTTTAGTCAATAAATCGTAACTGTTTTCTTCGTAATTGTACGTATTACTCACAGGGTGTTTTAAAAACGAGTGAAAAAATATAGCTATGAATTTCTTCAATAATTTCCTTGACAGGACATGGCACCCGAACAAGAGGGATCCTGGGTTTCAACAGATTTTTCTGAAATTTCCTGTACAATATATTATGAGCCAGGATGACACTTATATATGCGGGAAATTTTTATGAGCCTACAGGGTGTACCAGAAAACAGGTCCGAATATTCCTTCTTTTCCAAAGTTTAAAAATATTATTTTTCTCTTTGGATATGAATATCCTTAAAAAAAATCGATTGGTATAAGAATTTTGAAGTATATATTTATTTAACGAAGCGTCCTATAATGAAAATATACGGGGCGCTATGATTGTTAATGATAAATTCTAACTTTTAAAGTTCTAAAAAAATGTAATTTAAGTGCAAACTATTGATAAAAATATTGATAGAATAAAAATAATGATGATAACAATAATAATATAATTGTTAATAATAGAAATAATAATAGTAATAATAACCTTGAAGGAGGAGGAGAAACGGACCAAATATCGCGATCTCCGGTACGAGCTCCAAGTGCTGTACCCAGGCTACTCGGTCAAAATGGTCGTCCTTATTATCGGTGTACTCGGAGGGATAAAGCCTACGCTGCTCTCGGAACTGAAGATCATACCGGCCTGCCAAAAACCAGCCGAGTGGCTGGCAGGTCAAATGCAGAAGGCGGTCATTCTGGGTTCTCTCCGTCTGCTTAGGGCACACGATTCTGGTATCTACAGTCACTAACCCTGCGGGATGTGGGGAGTGGCTGTAGTTGATGCGCCGGCGCGACTCCCGTGAGGCGTCGGAGGCCACGGGAGGACTGACCGGCATCGGGAAACCGAAAAAAAAAAATAATAATAATAATAGGGTGCAAGGCCTGCAATCTCCGGGGGTGCAAGGCCGACAACCTCCGCGTTGATGCACCCTGGACAGGCAGAGGTAACTCTGCCAGACTAATATCGGCCGGGGGTACCAAGGCTAACCACCCTAGTACTCTTACTGCTCGGGTTACTTATAACCTAAGAAGGGCCCCTCACAATCGACCTCAGTCGGATGGAGGTCAAGGACAGATGGGAGGGGCCTTACCGGATGGTCCAAACGATGACAACAACGTTATTGTACATAGACGCTTTAAGTGGACGAGGGAACTAAAGGATGGCTTGCTGACCTGCCGCGAGAGTAGCGAACCTGAGCGATGGGAGTACATGGCGCGATTGCATGCACTTTGGTGCGAAATGCATCCAGAGCATCGCGTCTTCTCTCAACAACACCTGAGAGACCAAGTATCCTTCTTGCGCAGGACAGGTTACGTAAGGGCACCCCGTCAGCTGGAAGAACTGCCAGCCGCAGTTTCACTGCGGCAATTACCTGCTGATGGGGAACATCCATTAGAGCTCGCCGATGTAGACTTAAGGACAAGAGTTAGCCTTGACACCAGGGCTAATCTAAAGCCACAAGACCTGGCTAGAATGGACGCGGTCATCGATGAAGAAATTCCGGAAGATGTAGACATCTAGCAAATCAACTGTGCCGTGTACAACACCGCGAAGCAACTCGTGTCCCGTGAGAGGTCAACCAATCACGAGGTCGAGAAAGCCAAGCGGCGTGTACAAAAAATCGAGGGCAAGATACAGTCGGCCAGAAAACACGCTTCTCGAATCCAGAGTGTGGTGGAATATAAGACGACTGGTAGAGTTTTATTCCCAGAATCCGGCGCATAGCAGCCGGACTAAGATGTCAACACCATACTCTAAATCTGACAGTGATGCTTACCATCAAGCAGCACTGTCTAGATAGGATCCGAGCGCTCATAGCGATAAAGAAAACATTGAAGAGGCGAGTGAGGAGTATGGAACAAAACAATTTCTTCCGTACGAATCCTTCCCACCTCTTTCAAGAGCCACAGCGTGTTGCCGAGAATCCGCCGACTGTAGAAGATGTCGAAACCTTCTGGAAGGGAATCTACGAAACGCCGCGTCCATTCAATAGTGACACTCCATCAATTGCACACTTCGAAGCTCTGTGCCACAGACATCTTGAAGAGCCAGAAGAAGTGATCCACATTTTGATCAGGATTTTTAAGGTAGGAAATAAAAATGAAATGTCTCACCGACTGAGTAAAACGAGAACATATTTTTGCTGTTATAAGTTCTGGTTCAAATAACTGAGTTTGAAGAATAAATTCGTCGTTTGGGTTGAAATTTGTGGTGT